AGAAGGAGGTACATATAGCTCTTGAAGATAAAGGGATCAAGGGATGGGTGGGAGCCATGGGATTAGGTTACAGCACTAGGGACCCGGGTTCAATTCCAGCCTCTGGTGACTGTTTGAGGGGAACTTGCACATTCTCCCTCTGTCTGCATGGGTTTCCTCCAGGAGCTCTAGTTTCCTCCCACAGTTCAAAGATGCGTAAGTTAGGTGGATTGGCCATGCTAAATTGCCTATAGTGTCCAGAGATGTGTCAGTTAGGTTGATTAGCCGTGGGAAATGCAGGGTTACAAGGAGAGGGAAGTGGGGTGAGTTTGGGTGGGATGCTCTCTGGTGAGTCAGTGTGGACTTGTTAGGCCAAATGGCCTGTTTCCACACTGTAGGGATTCTATGTTCTATGTTCTATAGTCTTATGTTATTATTCTATAATTCCAATCAAGATGAATTCTGATTTTACAAAACTGCACACAATTCTGAGGCATAGTCCAAAGAATAACATTGATAAGAATATAGCACCAGTACAGTGTAAATAGGCTGTATGTATGATTTCTGAGTTTAAGCCTACAGATCACAGCCACACATAAACACAAAGCTAATTCTGTGAATTGACCATTGCCTCTACTCATCAAGCAGGCACAGCAGTGCACTGACCACCCACTAATCAGCTTCAGTCGAAAATACATTAAATACATTTTAAATTTATTAGGACCTGTTACCCAGAGAGGCTGTTTCCTTGGTTACTGCACATGTGCAGCTGAGCTTTGGGAAGATCAGTCACAGGTCAACAGCAGGAGCACTCATTTAGTTACAGCATGACATTCACTGCCTACTCAGAATATATCCATCAAACTTAAAATATCCCCTGAGAAGAAAGGAGCAGCAAAATGTAGCAAGTAAAATTCTCCTTGGCAACAACCAGTTGAAGCTCCAAAATCGGATGTGCAATAGTTATCTGATAGGAATTAGATACCAATGTGGCTCCGAGTTTGCCTTCCTCGCAAACTGCACGATAGATAGTTTTGGCAGGGCACTAAAAGCGCCTTTTAGTCACAATGAGTAAATTAATTATCTGACAATACAAGGTGACCTGACTGCAGCCAATTATTGACCATCCAATGAGGTGTCAGCTGTGGCTTTGTGGATAGTATTCTCACTTGTGAATCAGAAGATTATGATCTAAACCCCACTCCAAAGACCTGAGCATTAAAATTAAGGCTGACATTTCATTACAACATTAAAGGAGTTTTGCACTGTCAGAGGTAACACCTTGTTGACGAAACATTAAACTAATGTCCAGTCTGCTCTCTCTGGCTGAGTTGAAATCTACTGGGTTTATTTTGAAGAAGAACAAGGAAGTTCATCCCAGCGCTCTGGCCAAGATTTATGCCTCAATCAACATCACAAAATCAAATGGTCCGGTCATTATCACTTTGGGTTGATCTTTCCTTATTTGGCCAAGTGAGACTCGCGTTGAGTTTTTTGGTGGGACTTCTACCACATGGCCTAGTTAATTTTCTTGCGTACCTTAGCAAACTTGCCAAATTAACTGCATCTGTCATGTCAGATTCCAGCTCCAAGTTACCATGCGGTATTCGCAAAACAAATTGCCACTCAGTGAAATGTCGCCAAAAGGCTGCAACCCCTTGTGCCCATGCCATCTTTAAAAGGCCGCTGTGCAGCTGGACAAGAACTGGCATTCCAAAGCTGCCCTGCCCTCTCAAGGGCTGATTATGAACATGCCGGAGAAGTGGGAGATGGCACCATGATGCTCCATAAGGACTTGGAGACTGCGATGCCTTCTCTCTCTTTAGTACTGCAGATTTCACTAGCAGGTCCACCACTACTGCAGTGAAGCACCTAGCTCCCCCAGAAACCACCTTCTCAACCTCAGGGACAAGAGTACGGAGTCCTCAGAGGAAACATCGTCAAGGCTGCCTCCTGCACCCCCCTCACCAGTTCAATACTAATGCTAGGCTTTGAGAGTGGGGGAACACAATTTGGTGAGCACTTCACTGTGACAGCTCGTAGCTAGCTGAGGAAGCATTGGCCAGGCTGTAGGCACTCGGAGGACTGTCAGGAACAAGGCATCTGCTCAGCCCCAGGCAGGACAGGATCTTGTAGTCTCAGAGAAAGATTGTGCGAGAAATGCAGAGTTCCACGGATGATAAAACAGATAGAAAGTAAGTTGACTCCTGCTTCAAAGTTCCATGGTCCCATGCCCATTCTGACCAGTGCTGGACACTGTGCTCAAGAAAATGAAAACCAAAAGAACTGCAGATGCTGTAAATCAGAAATAAAGACAGAAATTGCTGTAAAAGCTAAGCAGGTCTGACAGCATCCGTGGAGAGAAATCAGAGTTAATGTCTCAGAACCAGTGACCCTTCCTCAGAACTAATGGTATATTGGAATGTCAGTTTACAAGCAGAAGATGGGTAGGGATAGAACCCAAAGACTGAGAAGAACAGTTGGACAGACAAAAGAGTGGACAACAATCTGGTAGGAGAGTGAATAACTATTAATGGGACTTTTCTTGGCTGACAATGTGTTGTGTCTAATAGCAGACTATGTGATAACAAGGCCTGGTGTGTGGGGTTTGGAGTAAGGGCATGAGAGAGCTCAAGCCTTAAAGTTATTGAGCTCAATACGGAGTTCAAAAGGCTGCAGGGTCCCCAAGTGGAAAACGAGGTGCTGTTCTTCCAGCTTGTGCTGACCTTCACTGGAGTGCTGCAGCAAGCCTCAGACAGAGATGTTGGCCAGGAAATAGGGTGGTGTGTTAAAGTGCCAGGCAACTGGAAGCTCAGGGTCTTTATTGCAGACAGACCATAGGTGTTCTGCTTCGTTTCTCCAATGTAGAGGAGACCACATTGTGACCAGCAAATGCTATAGACTAGACTGCGTGAAGCGCTCAAGATGCAGTCACACCACGAACCTAGTAGAATTTCATGATTATCCACTTCCAATATATGGGATTATTTACCACCCATGTCTGGGAATTTATTTATTTTGGACCTGTTTACCATAGGGGCATGCAAAATTGAAGCAAAAGTAGACCATTCAGCCCTTCAAGCCAGTTCTGCCACTCAATATGATCATGGCTGATTGGTTTATGTTCAAATTCCACATTTCTACCTAATCTCTGTGATTCCCTTGCCTAACAAAAATTTAACATTTCCTTAAAAGGTATTAAATGACATTGACTTCACTATCTTCTAAAGCAAAGTTCCAAAGTTGCCCAACTCTGTGACAGAAAAAAAAATCTCTTTGTCTAGGTCCTAAAAAGGCAATCCCTAATTTTAAGAGAGTGAACCCTAGTACTGGACTGACCCACAAGGAAAAACAACTTTTCCATGTCCATCTTGTAAAGACTTTTCAATTAGGTCAACTCTCACTCTACTAAATCTGATGAAAACAATGAAAACTCTGATGCAGCCTTTATTCTCAAGAGCAAACTCACTCACTCCAATCCAACAGACCACCTTTGAACTGCCTCCAACACATTTCCATCCTTCCTTAAATAAGGAGACTAAAACTACACACAGTCTTGGAATCGTGGTCTTACCAATGCCGTCAGTGGTGAACACTGACCGAAGTATTTATTGGAATCCTATGTACATCTTCTGGCTCCACATGCAAATTACCACTGTGGTCCTTAATGGTTCCTACTCTTTCCCTTGTCATCCTTTTACCTTTAATATACCTGTCAACAATGTCCTTTATTTTGCCTGCCAGCATCCTTTCATATCTCCTTTTAGCTCTCCTAATTCCTTTTTAAGTTCCTTCTTGCACATTCTATACTCCTGTAAGGCTTCAGCTGTTTTGAGCCCTTGGTATCTGCCGTGAGCCTGCACTCTTAATCCAATTTTGTATATCCCTCAATATGCAGTGCTCACAGGATTTGATGGACCCATGCTTTTTCTTTATTGCGACATGTTCGTCCTGTAGTCTCCATATTTCCCTCTTGAATGTAATCCACTGTTCTGAGACAGATTTGCCTGATATATCCACTCCAGGTCCACCCTGGCTAAATCATATCTGATCTTATGAAAATCAGATCTCCCCCAGTTGACAACTTCAATTTCAGGTCCATCCTGTCCTTTGCCATAACAATCTTGAATCTAATGGAGTTATGATCATAGTAACAAGTCGAAGGGTTATTGGCAACAGGCAGGAAAGTACAGTTGAGTCCGAGATGAGATCAGTCATCTTTGTACTGAATGGCAGAGCAGGCTCGAGGGCTAAATTGCCTACTTCTGATCCCTAGTTCTTGTATAATTTTCATCCTGCAGCCATATTGGCTATCAGATCGTATACATTTACTTCAATGTGCACTTCGATTTGTTTACTTTGTTCTGAATGGGAAGTGCATTTGACCAGACCGCCTTTAGTTTCGTCTTTTTGGTATCTTTGTGACATCTTGTGCTGATTGCTGGCATATTCTAAGGCTTTATTCTTCCTCCTCTTCTTGCCATTCACATGACCCTCATTTACAAAATTATTATTTTGCTCTTACTGTTACCATTTACTATTACCATTTGTCTAACATTTCCATCTCATCTACAGCAAAATCAAAGTTGGAATTATCTTTTAGCTCTATTGCATGTACGCTGAGGAATTAATCCTACACAAAATTTATTATTTTGTGCTGAAACTCAAATTCAAGCAAGTTTCATCTCATTTACACACAACATTCCTAGTTGTATATTTCTCGGTCCTATGTACACTCACTACCAACTATAATTCCAACTCGGCTTGTTCTCATTATTGGATACAATACTCTTCTCATTTATACTAATTAAACTAACTCACAACTAAACAGTTTCTACTTACTGTTACAATGCAATAAAACCCTCTCCATTGTTTACTTTTGCAGTGAATCCTAATACAATTTCCTTCTCGGATCCCTTCTGATTGATTCCTACATATTTGTTTCTGGTGACACATTTTCACATTTTTTTCCCCAACAGCACAGACTTTCATTTGATATTCTGTGAATAGAGGAGCCCAACACTAACCCGTATGCTGCTGTGGGTGACACTGCTTCGAATGTGCCTCAAGGTCTGGTGATGTTCTAAGATCTTGTTTCCACAGATGATATCTACCTGTCAAATCACACAAAAGATGACTTGTGGTTAAACATTTTCTAACTCAATGTAAACCTGGAGAGGTGCAATATCTTTGTTTTCAAAGGAACAGTGCACTTTTTACAGAAATAAGGTTCAATACACACTGAGGAATTGAGAGAAATAACCTTCCCAAATCAGCAGCTGCCCACCAAAACAAATCACCTCTTCATTACTGCACTAGTCAAATCGATGACCATGTGCCTCCAACCCACTGACCCTTTGTACCATGTGTGCAAAGCACTTGGACCTTTCACCCTTTCCCCACCCGATTGATGTTACCCACTGCACATCGAAAACTCTCAGAGGAGTTAATATAAATCTTCCCGGAGATTATAATTTCTTCCTGCTGAGCCCCCTTCCCCATTCCAACTGGTCCTCGGTAATGCCCTGGGAACTAGATACCCACTGATCCTCCTCTAAACCAGCAGTTCTCTACTAGCTTGTGTACAAAGCTGCAGACAATCCCACTATTACCTATATCCATGTGACTGGGATCATGTAATGCTGTTGGAACTCAAACCAGATGCTGATCTTCTCTGTGAACATCACGTCTGTTCCTTTTTAAGTGTCCTGGAAAGCTCACTCAGGGTAACGTTCCTGTCCTGAATTCCACTAGGAACCTGCAATCACAGCTTGCAACTCCGAATTCTGCTGGTTCCAAGGAAATCAATTAACTGACACAATTTGAAACCGCATGTTCACTAGGGCAATCCCTCACAAATGAGGTTGGCTTGCTTGTACTCCAGATCGATGATCTCTGACATGGCTGATAAGTCCAATTCGCAATCTGCTGACTCTGTCATGTTTTGCAGATGCTGCTTGAAGAGTCGGGTAGATGGAATGTTTGGAGGTTTATGGTGCTCCATCCGATGCCTCAACTTTGTCCCTGCATGTTCCCAATGTTCTTTCAACATGCAAAGTGCTTCCTCAAATAAACCTTCTCCATTTTGGTAAGCCACAGGCCCACAAGTCAGTAGAAATGTCTGGCCTCTTCAAGGCTGCTTTGAGGACATCACTGTGATGTTTCATCTGTCCTCCTGATGTCAGGACAATGAAAGACATGTCCCCGCTTTGTGGAGCTGAACGACTGACAGGGCCTGGAAGAGAGCTGGATACAGTGCCAAATTTTGGCTAGGGGCACATGGGTTCATTGTCACCAATGGAAGTCTTGGTCCTGAGCAGCAAGTAATTCAGAGCTGAAAGACTGGCTTTAGAAACAAAACAGAATTGTTAGCTTGAAAGCCAATCTTTCAGGTGAGTTTCAATGATGCTGCTGCTGCTTCCAATCTTCAGTCAACTTTGCATTTCCAATTTTTTGATAAAATCCCATCAGAAAACCATAAAGTTGCAAAAGTTCAGGAGCAGCAGTTCCTATTGACAGCTGGCAGCAATTCTCAGTAGAGTGCTCTGGTGGAAAATCTGATAGAATAAACCGTTCGTGAGATCCCTGGAACCATTTTAAAGCTTTGATGAAGTGATTGATAAGTCATAAAAGGGGAATAAGTAGCAAATATGATTAAAGGGAAGGGTTAATGGACTGCAGAGAATAAAGGGCACAAACACAGGAGAAGCACTCGGCACAGGATTTTTCTCCTAGCCCTGGAGATTAGCACCTCTAGTTTGAGTATTTTTGGCGTTGGAGAGGGTTCTGCTGTGACCATCTTTCTCGCCACTGGATTTGGAGAACCTTGCAAAGGTGCACAGATGACCTAAAGCAAACACCACATAGCACTGGAGAAGTCAGTTGACATACGCATCTTGCTAAACCACATGGTCATATGGTAAGTTTTCACTGTGGGCACTTTGGTCCTTTCCAGTTAGTTGGACAGAATGGAAGTGATGCAAAGAGAAAGTAGAAGGCTGATCCTCAGTCGAGGGTTTGGTCTAGAGCAAAATTTGGGCTTTCCAATCTTGAAGAAAATAAACTGGTTATGTATAAGGTAACGTTTGGAAGAATAATTGGAAAGATAAACCTGGGGAATTTCAAATCAAACAGTGGACAAATGTGGAAACAGTTCAAAAAAGAAGAGGCAACTTAGCACTGATGTCACTTCACACAAGAAAGAGACATGAACCAGATACATCAGTGGAATAACAGAACAATTCAGGTTATCAACAGGGGCTGTAGGTGTTATTTGGATTAGTTGGGTTAGGCCAAATGGCCTTAATCAGCATTCTGGTCACCCTGCTATAGGAAGGATGTTATTAAATTGGAAAGGGTGCAAAAAAGATTTACAAAGATGTTACACAGACTGGAAGGTTTGAGTTATAAGAAGCGGCTGGATAGGCTGGGACTTTTTCCTCTGGAGTGTAGGAGGCTGACAGTGACCTTATAGAGGTTTATAAAACCATGAGGGGCAGAGATAAGGTGAATGCCTAAGGTCTTTTCCCCAGAGTAGGAGTCCAAAACTAGACGGCATAGGTTTAAGGTAAGAGGGGAAAGATTTAAAAGGGACCTGAGAGGCAATATTTTCACACAGAGGGTGGTGCGTGTTATGGAACAAGCTGCCAGAGGAAGTGGTAGAGGTGAGTACAATTACATCACAACATTTAAAGACATTTGGACAGGTACATGGAAAGGAAAGGTTTAGAGGTATATGGGCCAAACACAGGCAAATGGGACTAGTTGAATTTAGGATATTTGGTCAGCATGGACGAGTTGGGCCGAAGGGCCTGTTTCCATGATGTATACCTCTATAAATCTAATGTGAATTATTCTATACAATTCTCAGACCATTTCCCCGGACTGTCCATCCTCACTGTGCTTTACTTTCAATCAATTACTGTGTTTATTTCAAAAGACATATATTGTTAGAATAGCTTTAAAGCAGTTCTGAAGAAGCATTGACTCTACTTTCTCACCACAGATACTTCCATACCAGCTGAGGTTCTTCATCAAGTTCTGTTTTTGCTTCAGATTCCCACCACCTTCAGTTCATTGTTTTTATTATTTTTAAGGTACTCCATTGTGCCTTGTCTGGCATTCAGCTCCCAATAAAGGGCAGTGTGTGCACGCAGACTAGGAGTCTCAAAGACTATCAGTGGCGCTCTGTCAGGTATTACTGTCAATCGAAGATGGCCTCTTCAAAGACTGGTCGCTGAGACTGTGTCTTGCGATTTAAAGAGATTCATTGTTCTGACACTGCAGCAACTCCCTGCAACACCTCTCTGCTCTTCAATGTCAACATGGATAGCAAACAGCACTTCACAGAGTAATGAAATACAAATAAGGTTAAATTACGAAGGTACTAATCCGGAAATACCTTCCCATTCCTACACCAAAGTTAATACACACACCTGCAGCTGTACCCACAAAGGCACCAAAAAAACTGGACCCTAACCAACCCTTTGAGTACCTGTAACTGTACTAATCCTCTTACATTAGTACTTAAGCCCATACCAACACTAGCTGTACTCATAAAAATACCCATAACTACAACTATACCAATACTACTATCTGCTCTCATACCTTCATATGTGCTTGTAACTGATATTTAACCACAACTGTACTGATCTCCATTCTCCATGCTATACGTATGGAATGAGCTGCCAGGGGAAATGGTGGAGGCTGGTACAATTACAACATTTAAAAGGCATCTGGATGGGTACAGGAATAGGAAGGGTTTAGAGGGATGTGGGCCAGATGCTGGCAAATGGGACTAGATTAATTTAGGATACTTGGTCAGCATGGATGAGTTGGACCAAAGGGTCTGTTTCCAAGCTGTACAACTCTAAGACTCTATGATTAAATGAAGACATATACAAACGGTTCAGACAACAGAGATACAACAGTAAACCAAGCTCTATAAAGGTTTAACTTCATTATTTAAATATCTCAAACACGCAAATGAAACCCATACAATAACCACCAAATACTTGAATACCAGTATATGGAACTCCTTTATTCAAAAAGGCAGGGAAACAAATGTAAGAAACTACAGGTCAGTTAGCTTAACGTTTATCTTAAGGAAGACATTAGAAACTATCAGAGCCGGGTATGTGGAAAAATTCAAGGTAATCAGGCAGAGTCAACATGGTTTTGATGAAAGGAAAATCATGATTAACTAACTTATTGCAGAACACCAAACGTGTTTTGGATGAAGGGTAACTGGTGAATGTAGGGTAGTTAGATTTACAGAAGGTATTTCATGAGGAGACACATCAAAAGTTATTGTTGAAAATAAAAACTCATTGCGTAGGGGTTAACACTGGCATGGAGAGAACAGGAACAGAAAGTAGACATAAAAGGGTAATCTTCTGGTTGGAAAAATGAGGTTGTGTGAGTGGTTAAAGAAATGGTAAATGGAGGGAAATGTTGGAGGGAAATGTAAATTTGCCCATTTTGGCAGGAAGAGAATAACATAACCATATTATCTAAATAGTGAGTTTGTAGGACTGGGAGATGCAGCGAGATCTGGTTATCTTAGTGCATGGATCAGAAAGATTAATATGCAGATATAGCAACAATTAGGAAAGTTAATAGACTTATGATTTATTGCAAGAATAAAATACAAAAGGAGGGAAGTTAAGTTACACTTCAATTATAGAGGGCATTGGTGAGACAACATCTGGAGTACTATGTATTGTTCTCCTTAGTTAATGAAGGATTTAAGTGCCTTCGAAGTACCTGAAATGGGGGAGGGCATTGTCTTGTGAAGAAAGGATACCCAGGTTAACCTTGTATTTGCTGCAGTTTAGAAGAGCAAGAGGTGACGATTGAAACATTTAATATCCTGAGGGATCTTGACAGTATAGATGTGGAAAAAATGTTTCTTCTTGTGAGAGAATCTAGAACTAGGGATCACTGTTTAAATTAAGGGACAGGGACATTTAAACAGAGGTGAGGAGATTTTGTTTCTCAGAGTGTCCTGATTCTTTGGAACTCTCTTCTTTAAAAGGTGGTTGGAGCAGTTACTTTTGAGACATAATTTCTTAGATGCTTTGTACACAAGGGGGTGCAATGCTATCAGGAGTAAGTAGCAATGTGGAAATAATTAGATCAGCGATGATCTATTGAATGAATAGTAGAATAGGCATCTCTATTGACCTGAACAAGGACTGCTCCTTCTCCCAATTTGTATGTTCGAATTTAGTTTTGGAAGGTACTGTCGAAGGAGTCTTAATGAGTTGCTGCAGTCCATCTTGTGGATGATCTACTTTCGTGACTTTATTGCAAGGACGATTTATTCAGTACCTGGGTAAAACTCTGATACTTCAGAACTCATTCTGACGTATAGTTAATATGCAGCTTTTTATTTATTAAATGATTTTTTAAAATCTTCACCACACTGGCAGACGCCGGACTCCCTTGGGCATTTAAGTAACCTTCAGATGTGTGATTTGTGTAAATAATTGCAAAGGAACACAAGCCTGCAGATGAGGCAGCATTTAATCACTGAGGAAGATCGAACACTAATTATATAAACCAGCACATGTTTACTGAAGAGGCTGCAAATAGCATCTGGAGATTAGGTAGAGAGCCATTGAATAAATGTAGCTCCTGAATTATGTGAAACAAGGACAGGGAGGCTACGTTCCTGAACTGGATAGACTTTGTCTATAAATAATAGAGAGAGAGAGAAAATAGACAATCAAGATAAATCAGAAAGAAGATAAAGGGGAGAGAAAGAGAAAAGAAGAAATAAACAGAAACAATGATGGCAGAGGAAAAATGAGAAGAATGGAAAGAAAGATGGAGAAAGGTCAGAATGAGAAATAAAAGAAAAGAACTGATAGAATTAAATTAAAGGGCATGAAGAGAGAAAGAAAATGGGAGGAAGAGAGAAAGAAAATGGGAGGAAGAGAAAAAGAAAATGGGAGGAAGAGAAAAAGAAAATGGGAGGAAGAGGGAGGTGTAACAAAATGGAGAGTAAAAAGAAATTAGAGAAAGAGAATGAAAAATGTCCAAAAATTAAAGAAGAAGAGTTTTGAAATAAACATGAAAGAAAATGTGGGAGAATGGAGGAAAAGAAACAGAAAAAGAAAAACATATAAAATAAATATTGCCCCTATCACAACAAAACCAAATATCTCCTGGAGAGAATACTTTCTGCACTGGTCTTTTTAAATTGGTTTCTGTGTCTGCAGCTCCTGGACCCTGAATAAATTCAAACTCCGGGGCAGCCTTCTCGTCCTCTTAGATCTTCACAGGGGAAGTGACAGAAAATTAGTGCAAACAGGAATAGCTTGGTTTTCTATGTATTTGCTTCCAGAGCTGCGCCTATATCTTTGGTTTGATATAATTAAGCAAAACAGCACTGGGGTAAAACACACATCTGTGGGATACAGTGGGATTCCTATGGGCTCTCATCTGGCAGGATAAGAGGTGCAGGTTTAGTGCCAGGCATGAAGGGTGGAGTAGTGAGAAGATTTTTTTTTCTTTATTCATTGAGGGTGTTGCTGGCTAGGCAGCATTTATTGCCCATCCCTAATTGCCCAGAGGACAGTTCAGAGTCAACCACATTGCTGTGTGTCTGGAGTCACTTGTAGGTCAGACCAGGTAAAGATGGCAGGTTCTTTCCTTAAAGGACATTAATGAACTAGATGGGTTTTTCCGACAATTGACAATGAATTCGTTGTCATCATTAAATTTTAATTCCAGATTTTTAAAATTGAATTCAAATTCCACCATCTGCCATGGGAGGATTTGAACCGAGGTCCCAGGATGTTATCTGGGTCTCTGGATTAAGAGTCCACCGATAATACCACAAGGCCACTGCCTCCCCTAAGAAAGATGGAAATTTGCATCTCGAATATTAAGGATGCTGGTCATTGAGACCATACCTGAAGTATCAGGTGCATTTTGGTCACCTTATCTGAGGAAGGAAGTTCTGGCTATGAAGGGATTGCAAGGAAAGTTTACTTGACTAATTGCTGGGATGGCAGGGCTGATGTATGAGAAGAGATTGGATTGGTTAGGATTGTATTCACTCGTGTTTTGAAGAATAACAGGGGGATCTCATAGAAACCTATAAAATTGTAACAGGACTAGACAGGGTAAACATAGAAAGGATGTTCCCAATGAATTGGATTAAGTTAGGGAAGAAATTGCAGGGACCCTAGCAGAGATATTCGTATCATCTACAGCCTTGGGTGAGGTGCTGGAGGACTGGAGGTGGCTAATGTATTTATTTAAGAAAGGTTGTAAGGAGAACTCTGGGAACTGTAGACCTGTTGAGTCTGACATCAGTGGTGAGAAGATGGTGGAGGGGATTCTGAGAGATAGGATTTACTTGCATTTGGAGAGGCAAGGACTGATTACGGATAGTCAGCATGGTTTTGTGCATGGGAAATCGTTACACAAAGTTAATTAAGTTTTCTGAACACGTAACCAAAAAGAGCGATGAGGACACAGCAGTAGACATTGTCTGCATGGACTTCAGTAAAGCCTCTGACAAGGTTCCACATCATAGGCGAATTAGTAAAGTTAGATCACGTGGGATTAAGGGAGAGCTTACCAATTGGATACAAAATTGGCTTGACAGTAAGAGACAGAAGATGGTGGAGGATGGTTGTTTTTCAAACAGGAGGCCTGTGATCAGCAGTGTTTTGTGGGGATAGGGGCTGGGTCCACTTTTGTTTGTCATTTAAATAAATTATTTGGATAGGAATTTAGGACGAATGGTTAGCAACTTTGTGGATGACACCAAAATCGATGGTATAGTCAACAGTGAAGGAGATTATTTAAGATTACAAAGGGATCTTGATCAAGTGGTTCACTGGGCTGAGCAGTGGCAGATGGAATTTAATTTGAATAAATGTGAGGTACTGCATTTCAGTAAAACAAAGATCAGCAGGATGTTTAGAAGTAATGGTTAGGCCCTGGGTAGTGCTGTCAAACAGAGAGACCTAGGGTTTCAGGTGTATAATTCTTTGAAAGTTACATTACAGATAGACAGGGTGGTTAAGAAGGCATTTAGCACGCTTGCCTTCAAAGCTCAGACCACTGAGTATAGGAGTTGAGCTGAGGTTGTACAGGGCATTGTTGAGGCCACTTTTGGAGTCTGTGTACAGTTCTGGTCGTCCTGCTAAAGGAAGGATTTAATGGAGTTGGAGAAGGTAGGGAAAAGATTTACCAGGATGTTGCCAGAACTGGAGGGTTGAGTTATAAGGATAGGCTGGGAATATTTTCAATGGAGCGTAGGTGGTTGAGGAGTGAGCTTACAGAGGTTTATAAAATCATGAGGAGTATAGGTAAGATGAATATCAAAGGTTTTTTGCCTACAGTGGGGGAGTTCAAATCTAGGGGGCATATTTTAAACTGGAAGAGAAAGATTTTAAAGGGACCTGAGGGACTACTTTTTCACACAGAGGGTGGTTTGTATGTGCAATGAACTGTCAGAGAAAGTAGTAGATGCAGGTACAGTTGCAACATAAAAAAGACATTTGAATAGGTACATGAATAAGAAAGGTTTAGGAGGGATATAGGCCAAACACAGGCTAGTGGGACTAGTTTATTCAAGCAATGGGGAAGATGCTTGTAAATGGCATGGTGCTGAGGTGTGTGTGCAGTGTGAGATTTGGTCGGCAACAAGTAGCTAATTGGTTTGTGCAATTGTGACCAGTCATGGATGCCAAAGTTTACCAGCATGGTGACAAAGTTCTGATTGGTTCCTGAACAGCTTGTGGGTGTGAAAAATACAGGGGGCAGGCTTTAAAGTGCAGGAAGGGCAGATTATATATGCATGCATGTGTGTGTCTCTGTCTGGAGTAACAAATACCTGAAGCCTGCAGAAAACTAATAATTTTCTTCCACTAGTTGCTGTAAGCTGTTGCTTTTTATCTGTAACTAACAGACTTTGTAATTAGTGTACTAATAAAACTGTACCTGCCACAAAGAAATGAAGAGGCCTGGTGAATGGAGACTGAAGAACAGAAAGTTTTGGGAGGACAAAAGGTAATCCAAATTAATTCTGTTGATGGGTGCTATCAAACTGTGTTACTCAGTTGTTTTGCTTTCCACCATAAAAATATTTTTTTTTTTATTTGTCTATGTCTGACTGAATATGTAGGTGTATGGGTTTTGAAAGGGAGTTAGGGTTTTAATGAGTAGGGCCATATTTTGGCAGTTCAAAGCTGCTTACTTGCGATTAAAATTTACTTATTTATTATAGTCATTCTCGTTAAGTAAAAGAACCTGGTTAGTGTTTTCTGTTAACTTGATTCCATCAGACATGTAAAGTGGGGATATGCGTGCTTTAATTAAATCTTTAGCTTTTGTGGTGACCTAGGAATAGAGGGGTTTGAGAATCAGCACACTTTTCCAAGTTGGTCATAACACCTACCTGACAGATTGGGTCCAATTCCAGCTTCTTCCTAATGAACTTTTCAACATGTCGAATCGTTGCTTCCTCTGAGACACGAATGTATTTCTTCTGCAATGGCTGAATGAAAAACAGATAATCAGCCCAGGAGTTAAAGGAGGTACAGGTTCAAGAGGCAAAATAGCCAATTCTGTTGGTATGTAAATAGATGCCATAAGCTGTCATTTCAGACGTAACACACTGTTCATCACTGGGATTATGTATCCTCTCTAGAAATGGAGTCACTTCCATACAGAGCCTGCTGGATACTTAAGAAGCATTAATGTATCCTTGTCTTGGACAGTGCTGTGTCAAAGTTAAGTCAAAAGTCACCCAAGATATGCCTTACTTTTAGATTAGTGTAACATACAAGTCCAACATGCTTCTTTTCAATAAATAGCGTTACCATTGGATGTCACCTGCATATTGTTAAATTTTGCATTCGATTATATTTACAAAACATAACCATGACATCAAATCGTGGAATATAAGAAATAGGAGGAGTAGACCATTCTGTCCCTCCAGCCCAATTTGTTATAATAACGTAATCATCGACTCAATTTCACTGTCTTGCCTCCCCGTCCTCCACAACTCTTGACTCCCTGCTGGATAAAAATTAGTCTAACACAACTTTGAATATCCTCAAGGTCAGTTCCATTATTCTCTGGGGAATGAACTTCAAAAGATTAAATCTAACACTAGAATCAGGATGTAGATTCAGAATCATAATTGAGTGGAGCATTGTCAAGGCCCAAAACCTGTGTTTAATCCCACCTCACACACACCCCCAACTTTCATTTTATGTCAGGAGCTGGGGAGGACAGAATTCTCAGCAAGCAGTACTTCCCAGCAGTGTTCCTCCATTGAAGACAAGCATTTGGATAATAATTAGTCAGCATACGGAAGGATTCAAATGTTAGGATTTTTTTGGTGTTACAGAATGATGTGAACCCCAAACTCTGCCCATGTACCAGAATAAACATTGAAGTCATGACATAATCACTGTACACACCATATCCTGCTGCAGTTTTGGAATAAATCTGAAAACAAATTACGAAATTAAACACACAAAATAAATGCACAAATGAATAGCCTTGGGCATGCTTGAAAATTTAACAGTATCTAGCAAAGCGGTTGTATGAAGTATAGCAGGATTGGTATCTTTGTCACCACACAGAAGTAGCAGTAGGCAGCAAAGGTGAGGGAGATGGAAATCGGTGAATAATAAGGGGAGGAAAAGTTAAAAACAAATTTCTTACACCCACCCCAACTTCATGGACCTACAGTATCTCTGTATGCAGCTGATACCCTTTACTAGTTATTTCAGTTCCACAGCCAGATTCTCTAACTGTCTACTATCTGGGAATAAGGCTGTTAGAGTGCCAACAACTCAACAGTGAAAATAATACAGCTGCTTTGCATATCAGTACAATTGTGTCACTTTTAAAATTGATGTGGACAGTTTTGCAGGGTTCAGATTTGCTGTTGATTCAGTTTGTTACTTATGAATATTTCCGGTCAGTTTTTTTATTGAACATAATTTCTCAATTCAAACAGACTTCAGCACAGTGGGGACCTACTTCAATATCTAACCTTTCTATTCCACTCCTGCTCTCAATTACAGTAGGAAAATAAAAATAAAATGTTATTGCAAAAATCATCAGCTTGGAAAGTGTTGGAGTGTGGTACAGAGTGAGTCTAGAATGGACGATAGAGGTTGCGAGTCTATTTGTGCCAGTTCTTCCATGATTTAAGGGCTATGTCATTTAAACGTGAACTGTTCCCATTTTATTTCTTCAAGAAATTCTTGGATTCACAGGACAGCAGCTGATTACAGCAAGGAGGAACTGCAAGAACAGATTTTAATAACCTAGTGGTTGTTTCAGACATGATTGCAGGTATAGATGTGCGACAGCACAAACAAATCTTACAGACAGGTCATGAAGAGCAGTGTTAGTAGGAACTGCCGATGCTGAAGTCTGAGACAGCAAGGTGTGGAGTTGGACGAACACAGCAGGCCAGGCAGCATCAGAGGAGCAGGAAAGCTGACGTTTCGAGTCTGGACCCTTCTTCAGAAAAGGGTTAGGATTAGGGTTAGGGTCCAGACCCAAAGCGTCAGCATTCCTGCTCCTCTGATGCTGCCTGGCCTGCTGTGTTCATCCAGCTCCACACCTTGCTATGAAGAGCAGTGTGTTCCCCCATCATGATACTGATTAAATTGACATTCTGTTATTTTTGTTGAATTAATGATACTGGCAGTTCCAAAATTATATAATGGAGATTTAACAGTGTGGCTGCATGTAGACTGCATGCCCTTTCCACATTCAATCTATGATATAAACCTCAAATTGCAATATAAATCCCAAGCCTTGCACCGTAAATCCTAATCCGAGGTATAAAACCCCAACCTATGATAAAATCCTAACCTATATGATATAAAACCCTCCTTGCAACATAAACTCCAAACTATAATATGTGGCGAATTCCCTTTTTGTCGTCTCTGTTTGATCTGCATAAGATCCAGCAATCTGTGAATTAAAACATTCAGAGAACTGAGTGTTTCAATGGTTTCTTGGTCAATGCAATCAAACCTGTCTAAGAACAGTGGGGTGGGCCTTGTTGCAAAATTTTCAATAGGAACAGTCAAAACAGTTTAAGGATCACTGAAGAACAGTTTAAAGTTTACTAGCAGTTAGGGGAGACATTGTAAGACACCGATTCAGAAACAGGCTCCATATTAAATTGCACTGCTGTTCAGATGGACTGCCGAGTAAGCAACTGGACCTAGCTAGTTCTGTCTGCTGGGATTCAGGAAGAAGTCCCAAGAATAGATATATAGTTCTGTGCCATTAGGACTCAGGATAGAGCACTGGGAGCTGCTTGTGGTAACTGGGCAGGATTAGAGCACAGGGAAATAAAACAGGGTAGTACTCCATTGATGAAGTAACTTGTTGGTAAAGAGTTGAGTTGTGACTATAGGTATGTGCTGGAGTGCAGTTTCCAGAATCCAGGCAAGTGCAGTCCTAGGAAAGGAGGGTGACTGACCAGAATGTAAGCAATCATCAAGACAATCCATGATGGAGCACCTATGAGGCAGTTTCAAATCTAAAGCACCAAAGTAAAGAATTGCAATCCCTTGTCTTCACAAGGTTAATGAGATTTCATGAGCCACCATATCACTAACATCAGGGACTGGGAGAAAGACTTGATGAAAAAAAATGATGGAATTTATCTTGAATGCATTTGCTAGTTGGTCTGTTTTATGGGAGCCGTTGAACACAGTCTGTTATCTATATTTTCTTTGTGTTAATTCTGGGTGTTAGAATATAAGTGGTACTTACGGTGTCTTCTGTACAGTTGTGGGCTCATCGTAGAAAAGATGTGAGTGCATTAGAGAATGCAGAGGCAATGTACAAGAATAGTCCTAAGTAGGAGAGACTTCAGTTATGAGGATCGATTGAAGAAGTTGGGACAGTTCTCCTTGGAGAGAAGAAGGCTAAGAGGATATTTGATAGAGGTTTTCAAAAGGATGATTGGGCTGAATCAGGTAGATAGGGAGAAGGTGTTCTCATTCATCAAAGGAAGAAAAACTAGAGGGCATAGATTTGAAGTGATGTGCAAGACAAGAAAGGGTATGTTAGCAAAAACTTCACACATCCAGTAGTACATTCACTTCTGTTATCCAAGTCATTAATATACATTGTCAATTACTGTGGCCCCAGCACTGATCCCTGTGGCAATCCAAAGTTACAGATTGCTACCCTGAAACTGCCCCATCATTCCAACTCTCCGATTTCCATCACTTAGGTCATCTACGACTCATGCTAATATACTACCCAAACACCATGGGCTCTTCTCTTATTGAGTAGCTTTATGTGCAAAGGCTTTTTAGAAATGCAAATATATTACACTGGTTCCCCTTTCTCGATCCTGCTTGTTATTTCCTCAAAAAACTCTACTAAATTTGTCAGGCATGATTTCCCCTTTAGGAAGCCATGTTGACTCTGTTTGATCATATGATGTATTTCTAAATACTCTGTTGTTGCATTGTTTATAACAGACTTGAACATTTTCCCAATGACAGATTTTTCCCAGAGAGATATTAAGGTCTGGCCTACAGTTGGCTGTTTTTGTCTCCTTCCCTTTATTTCTGAATGAGTATAGTTCTGTTTACCATGCACTTACCTTGTAGTCACCAACTCCAAGATCAGCTCTGCAAAACAGAACAGCATCCATTAACTTTTGTTGGTCTAGGACCGAGACCAATATCTTCTAATCATTCAGAAACTTGCAGCAACCTCAGGTTTCAGGCAGGACCCTTCATTAGTTACAGATTTTTTTTGAGAAACCAAGTTGCACATTCAACACCAAAGCAGCAATGGATGAAAGAGCAGATGAGAAAAAGCAAGAATCACTGGTAAACAGATTATCTGATCAAATCACATTGGCATTTTTTATCATTTTTAGGGTCCAGATATTACAGGAGGACAATTGGACTTTCCTTTTGGATTCATTAGTGACCATTTAGTTACACTTATTGATCCCAATTTCAGCATCGTACCCAAGACATTAAAGCCAAGGTTATTGCTGCCTATTTTAGCAGGTGAGGTTGCAGGACGATTGAATGTTTCGGCATAGAAAGATGCCATTCAGCCCCTCAGATTTGTGATGGTACCACACAGTCTAATCACACTCACCTACTCACTCCTCCATACAACATGACGAAGTCAGCAGGCTACCCACCACATGTCAATAAATAATATTTGATAAAAGCTTGATTGACCTCAGTACTATCCTGCATGGAAATGAGCCTCCTTTTTTTATGTCCTTGAAATGGTGGGAAGGATGGGAGATACCATCTTCGAAAGGTGATTTTTGCGCATCAAGGCCAGCAACCACCTCACCACTGCCCCTTCCCACCCCCACTACCACCAATAACCACCTCCCCCACAGAGACTAGTCCCACCAATTCTTTCATCTTTGTCTGAGTCGACTTTAGAACATACCCTTGCACCCATTTTGCTAAAGTGGCGAATCCCCCATTATCCCTTGCCACGAACCAGACGATGGGTAATTTGCCAGGAGCTCCAAAAGACAGTACTTCATTCCCAGTAAGGATTGTGCTATGGCTACGGGGAAGGCTTTTTCTGAATCAATTTGCTAGCTACTGACTTTCTGTCTCTGGAGGGGTTAGATATTTTGCGCCATCAAAACCACCCCTGTAAAATTCTGCCCATTAACTCAGTTTCTTCCTCTATAAGACTTTTGAGTATTTGCAGCACAGCCCTCTAGTTATAATACCATTGATTCAGTTCGACATTTTTATCCATATGTATTTATGCTGTCTCTTTCATGCCTGAATGTCTGCACATCAGTCTGCTCCTCTACTACACCTCACTACTTAAAGCACCTTTCCGTTTCTTGTATAGCTTTTGACATGATTTTGTTCTTTTCTACATTGAAAGGTGATCGTCCAATACATCCCCCTTGCAGATCAATCCACCTCTTTCAAGAGTCTTTCAAGATTTAAATTACCATTTGGTACCAACAGTAGGTTTCATTATTGGCTTCTCAATTCCGAAAACAAGATTTACATACCTGGCTACTGCATAGTAGAATCATGACCATGGTCATATAACATGTGGAATGAAGGGACAGGTAGAAAAATGGGTAACAAGTTGATTACTAAACAGACAGTAAGACATTAAACTCCGATTTATCAAATAGTGGAAAGTTGTGTGCCACCATACAAACCTACAAATTAGAAGCAGAAGTAGGCCACTCAGCCCCTTCAGCCTACTTCACAATTCAGTAAGATCTTAGCTGGTCAGATTACTTCACATTCTGGACTATCCTGATCACCTCTTACCCCCTTGCTCATCAAAAATTTACCTACTTCTGCACTAAAATATTCAAAGAATCTGCTTTCACCACCTTTTGGGGAGACTTCTAGAAACTCATGATGCTCTGTGATAAAGGTTTCTCCTCACTTTTGTCTTAAATGGGAAACAACATATTATTGAATGGTGACCCCAGTTCTAAATTCTCCCATGAAGAGAAAATAATTTTTCCACATCCATTCTGCCAAGACCCCTCATGATCTGATATGCTTCAATCATATTGCCTCTTGTTCTTCTAAACTCCAGCAGAAACAAACCTAGCCTATCCAACCTTTCCTTATTAAGACAATCTGCCCATTCCAGGTATAAGTCTAATAAATTCTCCCTGGGTTTGAACATACTTCCAACACATTTACATCCTTCCTTAAATATGAAGACCAGTACTACACTTAGGATTGGATCTGGGACTGCTATTGTTCTCTATTTACGCAAATGATTTGGAATCAAAGTGTAATTTCAGAATTTGTTGACATTCTGGAGTGGAGAGTAAGGGGGATAATTGAGGCAGAAAATGCAGAAATGATCAGTCATCATCTGTGGAAAATGAAAGGATTGACAGGTGAAAGGCCACTGAAATGAAACATGAATCCGGTTTCTATCTCCACACACGACATCTGGCATATTGAACATTTAATTTTTCCAGCATCCTCAGTATTTTGCTTTTTTTAAGACCAAAGAATACTGGCAGTGTTTTTAAGATTACAAAAGAGTTTTTTAAGAGTATGCGCACAGAAGATGTTTCACTTGCAGGCAAGGTGAGAATTAGAGAAACCATAAATGTAAAATTCTTATTAATTAATCTGATAGGAAATTCAGAAGGAACCTATTTATCAGAGGGTGGTGAGAATGTGAGACTCACTACGTTAAGAAGTAGTTGAGATGAACAGTATAGATACATTTAAGAAGCTGGATAAACATACGTGGGAGGAAGGAATAACAGAATGTGCTGACAGATGGGAGACACAACATTGAGCTGCAGTCCACAGAAGAATTACCACTTTCAGGAGTGGTGGGAAAAGAAGTTAGGAGTGAAAAAAAAAGCATTTACTAACAATCTGGAACAGTTCTTAACTGGTGACATTCCAAATACAAAACGAACACACGTCTAATAGAACTAAAGCACAGCTTCCAAAGTCTCAACAGGATATAAATAGTTACAGCCTGAGGGTGGGTTAAATAACCTTATAAACATGAGCCAGTATCAAACTGTGGCATGTTAGACTAGACTCGGCTGTGGCCAGAAGGCTGTCAGGGACTGAGGCACTTAAATCACAAATCAGCTTTAAACATCAAACCTGCAGCATCATCCAGTGTCAGCAAGGATTCTCTACTTGAAGAGCTTCACATCTCCTGACAAAAACTGCAGGCAATGAAAAGTTGTGACTTTCAGAACTATATTATTTGTAATTTATGTTGTTAAATGAGATGTGGGGACCAAATGTAATATTTCCAAATTTGCAGATTACCCAAAGCTAGAAGAGAACGTCTGATGTAAGGAGTGATGCCAATAGATTTCGAGAGGATTTGAACAGACTGAGTGGGTAAGCAACAAAATTGTAAATAGAATATTATGTGGAAAAGTATGAAGTCATCACATTGGTAAAAGGAAAAAAGATGCCGTGTCGGAGACTGGGAAGTGTTGTTGTCCAAAACAGCCTGGGTGCCCTTGTCACTGAATACTAGCACGCAGGGGCTACAAGCAATTAGGAAGGCAAATGATGTGTCAGAGACAGTAGGAACTGCAGATGCTGGAAAATCTGAGATAACAAGGTGTAAAGCTGGATGAACACAGCAGGCCAAGCTGTGTTATCTTAGGCAAATGATATGCTTGCTTTTGTCAGCCAGAGACATAGGGCCATGATCATACTGAATGGCGGATCAGGCTCCTCCTCCTTTCTTCTGTTTCTATGAAAAATAATTTCCGTACAGAAGTAAAGATGTCCTGCTTTAATAAACTTGGTCAGATGGCACTTGGAGTACTGTGTACTAAGTTTTGGTTCCTTCCCTTTATAAGGATATGTTTCCTTAGATGGAATGCAGCAGAGGTTCACCAGACTGAATCCTGGGTTGGCAGGATTGTCTTATGAAGTAAGATTGAGAAGGCTGGGCCTGTATTCTCTGGCATTTAGAAGAACGGGAGGTGATTGCAGTGAAACCTTCAAAATTCTTAAAGAGTTCGATAGGGTAGATGCAGAAAGTGGGGAGAACACTGTGGTCTAGGACAGTCTCAATATGAGGAACAAGCCATTTAGGTCTTAGATGAGAAGGAATTTCTTCATGCAGAACATAGTGAATCTTTGGAATTTTCTACACCAGAGAGCTTTGGAAGCTCAGTGATTTGAGTGTGTTTAGGATAGTGAAAGCTACATAAATTAATAAATATTAATGACATCAAAGGATATGTGAAAAGTACAGGAAAGTGCTGTTGAAGTATATAATCTAGAACTGAAGACAAGGCTTGAAGAGTTGAATGGCCTACTCCTGATCATATTTATTTTTATTCTCTCATGGGCTGTGGGCAATTTGTTGCCATCCCTACTTGTCCACATACGGAGTGACTTGCTAGTTTATTTCAGAAGGTAGTTAAGAGTCAACCACATTGCTTTGTGATAACAAGGTGTAGAGCTGGATGAACACAGCAGGCCAAGCAGCATCAGAGGCGCAGGAAGGCGGACTTTTCAGGCCTAGACCCTTCTTGGCCTGCTGTGTTCATCCAGCTCTACACATTGCTTTGTGGTCTGGAATTGTATGTAGGCCAGATCAGATAAGGATGTCAGATTTCCTTCCCTGAAGGACATTAGTGAACCAGGCTTAATCACCGGGAATTGATACCCATGTTCACCATTACTGAATCCAGTAATTTTTTTTCTGAATTGAATTTCAAGTCCGCCAAATGCCATGGTGGAAATTGAATCCATATCCACCAAGACATTAGTCTGGGCCTCTGGATTACTAGTCCAGTGATATTACAGCCACACCACCATCTCCTTTATGATTCTATCTTACAATCTACTGTACTACAGAATCATCATTTCAGGCTTACAAACTGCAGACAGCACTACCTTCAGCACAAAACCCTCTCTTACCACCACACCATACAGTGACCAATAAACATAAATTGACCAATAGCACAAACCTCCTTTCTCTCTTTTCAACCTCCTCACCAAAAAATTGAAAAAATATCTTGACATCTGATATCTCTACTATCACAGATATTAGTCCTCAGCCAATTTGATTCACTCCACATGATATTAAGAAACAAATGAGCATGCTAGATACAGCCAAATTTCTGGGCTCCAACAATATCCCAACT